CCCCCCCCCCCCCCCCCAATACGCGATGATGGACAGCGTTCTTTGAACTGCATGCCAACCGTTTTCACTATTTTCTTCAGCGCCTGGAGGGCCTGGCTATGAGCTACAACTGTCACTGTGAGACAGCGCTGTGGACTCAGGATGGTCGCGCCTACTCGCGCAACATCGAACAGATTTGAGTGGATGAAACGAATGGAACCGGCGGGAACGTGCTTCAAAATCTTCCGGCCCCCGACGAATAAACAAAGCATTCAGCAGTCGTACCACCGGGTGTGTATTGCGTGCCTGGCAGCGTTTCCTTGCCAAGGGGTGCCGCAAGGCAAGAAGGCCCGGGAGCATGATGAGCTTGTACAGTGAATTCACTGTCGTTGCCATTCAAGTATCAATCGTACGCTGTAGGTAGACCTGCATACGGCCGACGGAAAGCAGACTCACCTCGCTATCACCAACACAGGAAAATACATCTTCTTCGACAGGGCATGGTACCTGGTTCCGTTGAGAATGCCGCACATAAATGCCTGTGCGAGAACAACGAGGCGATGGGGGCAAGATCGTCCGTTTCCCGGTGAGGATACGTATCGGTACGAAGAAATCCTTCAGCGGACTTGCCAAAACATAGGGCAGGTTTGTTGAAGGCGTGGTATATTGAAGAAGCTTCGAAATACCATGGGCGTCATAGGGTCTGGTAATAATTACCGATACTGCGGGAGCACGGGGCTCGCGAACTAGAGAACTAGAGAAGTCCTTCGACCACCCTGTCGACTCTAGGTGTTCACACAGGGACGTGAAGAGAGAGGTAAATGGAGATCGCAGCGTACGGCAAGGGAGCAAGTGGACACCTAGAAGGCTTCTAATGGTCAGCCAGCTTGAGGATCTACAGAACAACAGCCTGTAAATATTGACGGAGAAAGGCAGAGACACAAAATAGGGAGGCGACGAAATGTCTGACGCGTCCTCTACCAAGTTGGACTCTATCTCTTCCCTCGGGGGCGAGTAAAACGAGAAGGCAATTCGCAAGTATTGCAATTAACCCCCATTGGACCTTGGTTTCGACGTCAAAAAACTTTTCCACCGCAGACAAAAAAGCGACAGAAGTGCTGAAGAAGAGACAAAAGCGTACTTCAGTAGACGCAACAGCTATGTCCGCCTACGGGCCATGCGGGTAGCCCGCGACAAGGCGGTGGCAACAGACATCGGAAGGGTTGATGGATGGTCATGCTGCGGCCGGCAGGGCAGGTAGCCACCTACAAATGATCAGTCGTCTAGCTGCCTCAACTACTCCATTTTCAGCATACTCTAACGATCAGTGAAAATGGTCAGTGAGAGGGCATTAGCTGGTATTTGTAAGTCTCTTGTTATTCTCTGTCGCTCCCTACTGTGAGCCCTGCCGGGTCACTAGAGCTCCTGTCTCCCCCCACAAATACACCAGCACTCAAGCACTCCAGCACACCAGCACACACTTACGTAGCGCCTTCCGAGGTTTGGGCGAGGTTATGTGGAGCCATGATGTATTTACATGCATTCATAGTCTATGCTATGTTGTTTGACTCGTCTACGCAGCTGTTGCGTGGTGTAGCAGCTGACACGACGAATGCTGGATCTTGGGAAGGTATGATAGTAAAAAGATTGATGCAGCATATACCACGATACCCTGGCTTCGGCTGGGCCATGAAATACCCCGTGTGCAGCCCTCCGCTTTTTTGGACCAGTAGCTGCCTGGTTCGGGCGAGGGAATACATGGTGATTTGAGTTCAAAAAAAGTGCCTGCGGTATTGCGGATCCGCAGTTTCTTTTTTTTTTATTCTCTCAGCGCAGAATCTCCAGGGGCCAATCTGCGGTTTGACGCAGAAAAAAGTTTTGGGCCGCACGAGGGGAAGAGTTTTTTTGCAACACCACAAATGTCACTTTACGCTTATTTTGATAATTCTGCGAAGGAAAACCACTCTGGGACCCCTCCGGAGGCGCTCCGGGGGCCCTCCGGAGGGGGGCCTGCGGGGGGCCGCACCTCGCCTTCGGAGCCAGCGCAAACTGAACCTCGGGACTTTTCAAACGCTGCCTGTGATCCTGTGGTGTCTGCCTCTGTGAAACTATATGTAGAGATATCAGGTTTGGCGTTTGCATTTAGCGCATTGCGTATTCTTCGAATTTTGGCCCGCTTCCCAAGGCCTAATAAGCTGGGGCTGACGCCTTTCCCAGTGGCCAGCCCGTTAGCGCGGTCGATGCTTAAACGACAGTCTACTACTGCATGCTTCCCAACACCCGGCGTGGAGGGCTACACAGGGCGGCAACTCCACAGCTTGCCACCGCACCAGCATTTGCAAATGATCAATCAATGATCCGTCAGTATGCATGAAGGCCCAAAAGGGTAAAGAGAAAAACTTCATGTCCCTCCCGGCCGGATCAACTTTACGGAAGGTGGCAGCGCACTGCCTGTTCGATGAAAGCCACCCCACGACTCTAAAAGTAGCTTGATAAATGCATGCATTCCCGGGCTAAGAATGACCCAACCAGCGGGCCGCGTACGTGTTTACACCTGCACACGCACACCCGGCGGTGAAGATATTCATTTCGGCGTTCATATCGAGCGCATTAGCGCATAGCGTATTCGAATTCTGCCCTTTCCACGAACTGGCGTCTTTCATTGATCAGCCGGTATTACTGCCGCTGTCGATGCTACTCTGTATTTCAGGTCCAGCCTCGAATACTTATTGTGGGCTATAACCTCAGCGTATGTCGTTCGATTTCGTATGTCAAGTTTCTTGTTTTAGCGCCGCCAAATCCTGCTGACATTCTTCAATCGGCAATTTCTTATTTTCTCTGCTAACGAGAGCTGGCGGAGAGCACCATCAAAACCGTACAGCAGACAGCATATGGTTCGCAGCCTGTCTGGTGTGCTGTACCAGAGCCGGAGCGCCAGAGGGCGCCAGAGCCGGCAGGGTGCCGGAGGGGGTGCCACAAAACAAACACACTCCCCCCTCGTTGTACAACTAATAATGCACTTGGGCGGGGGGGGGTAGTGGGAGAGGGGGGAAAGAGAGAGAGATAGGAGGAGCTGTGGGGTGTGTCTTATTCGACACACTCCCCCCGTAACCCCTCGTTTCTTATGTCGTAGGGCAGCGGTCGCCGCTGTTTCTTATTGAGACATTTCAAATTGTGTGACCCAGCGTGAGCCACGTTTCTTAACCCTATCTTCTTATTTTTCGTGGAAGAATGGGCCTCTATTTCCATACAAATATTTCTTCATTCCGGGCGCTAACTACATCTAGCTGGCACTCGATTTACTACACATAGACTATCTCCCCGCGCAGCCCGCCAGGCGGCGCAGTCAAACAAACAAACTTGCCTGACCCACAGCGAAAACGAAAAGAAAGGGCAGCTCTGTCAACACGTCCATGGCATCCGTGGCCCTTGTGCAGTTTTCAGGGACCCCAACCTGTGAAACAGTCGAACAGCAGTTGTGAAAAGGTGCCTGCCGTTGCGATATGGTAGTCTAATGAGCGTCTGCCGCGTGTTGCTGCTGACATCAAATGCAGGTGAGGCGACAGCTAGGAACGACGGGATCCAAGCCAAAGCTAGGGCAGACTCTAATCCACCAACATTGACGGCAACTTCCCCGCCGAGAGTAGCACCAGCCCTGGGCTGCATGACTGTACATCACTTCTTTCAGGGCGACCGCGAAATGCGCTGGCTATACCTCGCATGACGCCGCCATCAGAGCGTACAAAAAGATGTAAAACCCCACCCAGCTTGCTGCCTTGACGCCTTGCTCGGCATCCCAAACCAAAGCCATGGCTGCTGCCTGTGAGGTGAGTGCTGTACCACGAACATAAACTGGTGCCCTTCCGGGTCGAGGGCTGCGATGGTGTCTCGAATGCACAGGTGGTGCCAGCATTCGAGAAGAAAAATAAGACAGTCCCGTGAGGCGGATGTTCTTCCCTGATGTTCCCGAAGTCTTCACGATCGACAATACGTTCATCTGCTGGGCATCGACGATGACGATTCAAAATGCAGTTTCCGGAAGACCTCCGGCTAGGAACGACGCAGGACTACAGTAGTTTGCGAGAAAGCAAGAACAATCACAAACCAAAGCCATGGCTGCTGCCCGTGGGGCGAGTGCTGTGCCACGAACATTAACTGGTGCACCCCCTCCGGGTCGAGGGCTGCAGTCGTGTCTCGTATGCACAAGCGGTGCCAGCATTCGAGGAGAAAACCTGACAGACCCTTGAGGGGGGTGTTCTTCCCTGATGTTCCCGAAGTCTTGACGATCGACGACACGTTCATCTGCTGGGCATCGACCATGACGATTCAAAGTGCAGTTTCCGGGAGACCTCCGGTGAGAAACGATGCAGGACTACAGCAGTAATAGTTTGCGAGAAAAGCACAATCAAAAAGCGGCAGCCCTCCCATACATGAGGGTCCAAAAAAATAATTAAATTATTTCGCGCGAAGAGGAAAAGAAGGGCCGGAGCGAGACATCAAAGCAAGCGTAGATGGATATGGATGGAGCCTACACCACCACGTAGGTCACCAGTGCGCACGCTCACACCTCACCCTATACCACCAGTCAGTCAGGGGGTGAATGAGAGCGCTGTTTAGCTCTAATCATCATCAGCTCAGCGGCAGCAGTGCTGCTGCTGCTGCTGCTGCTGCTGCTGGCTGTTGCTGCCGCCCCTGCTGCTGTGCATGGGTGCGCAGTTGCTTTCTTCGCTTTCGCTACTAGCAAAGGGCAACGGACTCTAAAAATTGGCCTGGACCCCTCCCACGACGTGTGTATTTGGCCGCCCTTGGCTTACATGGCTGTGTCCGTCTCACTTGTCTCTGTTTCCGGGGTGCGTCTGTTGTGGAAGCAAACGATCGGCCGGCAGACGAAGAGACCGCAGACAGAGATCTGACGTGTGTGCACTCGCATGTTCCCTTGCTTACGTGGCTAGCAGTAGGCCTCCGGGTCTACAAATAGCTTCCGACGCCAGCCATGACGTGTGCCTTTGGCCGGCCTTGGCCTACAGCAGTGTGTAGGCCTCGTTCTCTATTGTGTGGATGTGTCTGTGCGGGAAGGTCCAAAGATCGGTAGGTTGAGGGTGATGCAGACCGACCGCGGATTGACTTGCGTCGTCACTCGCTTGTGCTGCCGACAGCAAGCAAGGGGCTGCAAGAGTCATACCCAACGCCTCTCATGATGTGTGCCTTTGGCTGCCCTTAGCCTACAACATCCGTATACTGCTGTGCTGGTTGTATCGCATGTTGTGCACGTGATGTGTATAGTGCTGCTGTGAAAGAGGATTTCGGTGATTCTGCCGAGAGCGTCGTGCCCATCGCCCAATCATCTGTCTCTGTCTTACAAAACGTCTTACAAACTCGACGGGTGATTGGTGGGAGATGGGCATCTACCCGGCTCTACTCCTCTGAAACATAGATAATTGTTGGAAGTTCTTCCGTGTCTTACAAAAAATCGCCCTATTTATGGGTGCCCTGCCCAAAAAGCGAGTTCCAGCCTGTTCCGGCAAAGTTCCGGGCCATATGCGAGCCTTCTGTGCGCCTCCTCTCTGCTGCAGTAGAAAGTCCGTGGTGAAAAAACGTACGTACAATGGAGACATTTCCTACAAAGAGTAGGCGATAGTTTTACAGATAGAGCACTGTTGTTACAGCAGTGTGCATAGGTCTTAGACTAAAGTCTATAGATCTACTGCACGGCAGAAGCACACGAGACACCAGACCACATCGGTTTGTGACGGGCGATACGCAAACTACAGCAGTACAACTTTCTCCTACTTGTGTTTTGATTGGACAGGGCAGGATTGGGTCGCCGGCATTTTGTCACAGGTTGTACGTCTATCGGGTTGCGAGACCCAACTACGGACTACCGCCGGTCTCTGATACACGTTGTCTAGACTAGACTACGGCTCGTTCGTGCCACCTCCATCTCGTACAGTAGTCCGCCACATGTCCCGCTACACGTTCGGCCATCGCAGTCGTGTCCTTCTACGCTTTTTCCCCCTGTGTCAGCCCCGCCGTGCAGTTGACACTTCGGTCATTCTGGCTCCTTTGCTGTTCCGTTTAGCCGAACGTACATACTGTAGTCGGCTGACCTTCTCTTCCTCCTTCCACCAGACTACCATCAACCTCCCCGCCCCCCGTGCTGTAGCACCTCCGCTTACCACGGCACCCCGCCCCCTGCTGCAAGACTCCAGATGGCACGAGGAATCCCTTTCTCCTGTATTGTTCGGCTGTGGCGCCGAACTCTTGGGAGTCGGCCCTAAGACATTCATCCACTTATGCTCCGGGCACACACCCATCCTCCCCCACGAGTTTCCCACACATTCGCTTCGGGAGCCGCCCGCCCGGTAGTCCGGCCAAGGTTCTTGCGAATGGCAGTCGCCGTAGCCGGACGGTGGCTTCCTCGCCGTGGCATCCAACCTTTTGGGGATCTGGGCGGCTAGCTGCCGATATTTGCCGCGTTTGTGTACGGTACCCTACCACTTGTTGTCGTAAAGTGTACAGTAGTACAGGTGGTATATCCTCCTCAGGTCGCGCCGCGGGTCTTGTACTACCACCCGCTTCAGAGGTTCGACCTGAAGTGCACGTGCTTTCTGTCGTCCAAGAGGCCCCGGGAGTACGTGCGGATGCACGCCCGCGCAGCTCTGCTTCGGTGGTTGATATCCTGCGCGAGCTTTCCGCCTTTTCTGACGCGGCCACCCTGGTATCGGAGCTTTTCCGCTGCTTCGATCACCAGAGTGGTGCCTGTGGTCGTGATTGCGGACGCCCCCCGTTCGTCGGCTCCTTCTCCGACACCCGAATTGGAGAGCTTCTGTGTTCTTCGCCGACACCCCAAAGGCTCCCACAACTTTGAGGATGATGTTCGTCGTCCTCGCCAGCTATTCGGATGATCTCGATACTCGATGCGTAGCCAGCGTCGTCGGCGTAGAGTATTCCCCAAACCATCCTATGTAGCATTGCCAGCAGGGTCACTGCGCTCATCCTCACGCCAGGCGCCTCCTTGAGGAATACCAGGTCGTTGAGGACGGCGTCTTCTTGCCCGACACCCTGAATCGCGCAAGAAAATCTTGGTTGCCGCTGCGAAGACGGTGTTGAACAGGAGATCAGCACACATCGAATCCTTGTCGCAATTCCTGTGTAGCCTCAGACCGGCCCTGGAGCTCCCCGTCATCCATCCATGCGCACCCGGACTTACGTGCCGTCGTGGAGTTGGTGGAGAATTGCGACAACGCTGTTACACGCTGTGTGTGGTTTTTCCGTGACGAATTGTCATGGTGCATCATGCTGTGCCTTCGCGCAGTGGCAGGCAAACAACAAAGCTCATCTTCGCGTTTCCATCAAATGCCGCCTGACTCTCCGTCGCATCATCTTCCGAGCTTAACTTCCGCCTGATAGCCCTACATCATATGGCCACCTTAAATACCTCGAGAACGAAAACCGGGGGTGAGAGGATCATCGACGCACGAACAACCAAGTTAACCAGGGCCAGTGCTGCTGAAGCCTATCAAACGAATGGTTGATAAATGGAAACATATCGTTGTAGATCCATGTAGTATGCCATTTGTGCAGCGTTGGACTATCAAGCCACGACGAAGCAAGTCATGATGTGGGAAAACATGTTATTGGCAAGATCATTTTCAACCAGATCGAATCAAGCAGCCGATACAACCCGAAAAAAACTTGAGCACGGTATTATCTTGAAACCACATCAGCCGCTCGAACCGTCCACTCTCTCCTTCTCTTGTTCGCTCCCTTTGGACAGAGATTCCCCTACCGCGCCGAATCAGAGAATCTGCAGACCAGTAATTTCCCTCTCTCATCCACAAGGTGGATCGACACCTCGTCGCCCTAGACAAAGTTGCCTACTTTATCGGCAAATAGACAGACGCTGTTTTTCGAGATGTGCGACAACAGGTCGGCGTTATGGGGCGACAGGGTGCGCTGCCTCGCAATTGATGCCGGTGGAGTGGTGAGGCTATCTCCTTTCCCACGCCGGCGGTACGCTATGAGTGCACAAGCTTGGTTGTCGGTTTGCAGAAGGCGAAATCCCACAAGTACATCCCGTGCGTTGTCTTTTGTAGTGTACATGTCCCTATGTGACAAAAGTCTTGCAGGCGAGAAGCGACGTACAGTACAAGTCAATTAATAGCCGACTGTTGATGGTTCTATCACACAAGGTCACTTCGTCTCCAAAGCTACTTCTCTACGGTCCAAGAGCAGGCAACCCTCAATACCCGCGTTCAGACCAGGCAATCAACAATCATGCTGGCAATCAACAATCATCGCAAGGGTTGTGTGGTATCAGCAAGAAGAAACGGGCAGAAATGGCTGACCATCTACATATTCAGCTCTGGGGAAAAGCACAACCCATGCTGGGCACACACAAGTAAACGAAGAGCACATGAAGAAGCAAAACGCACCAACAGTACCGTAGCAACATCCTGCCTAAGCCCTTGAAAACAATCTTGGCACGTCTACGCACGCACACAACACAACAGACACATAAGGAGGCTTCACAGATGAATTCTGCAATCCAGATCACGCTATTGTGCAACACGTTGCGTTGCTAGATCATCCATCGCTCGTGAGCAGAATCAGATGCATGTTCAGCCATTCGGTCGGCGTTTGCTACCGATATAGAACCCATGGTGTCTGTCCCCCAATACAATCTTCACGACGATCACGACAGTTGCATGTTGATCTCACAATTGATCTGCATCTCGCAAAAGTGCTCAGCACCAGGTGCCGGGGAGGTTGCATGCACGCCTCCTTCGACCATACGGTAGAAAACCCCTTCGTCACGAGCTTCCGCACTGTACAAACTATTCGATTTTCGATGCAGAATATTTTCATGTTGAAATTTTGGGCTAAGCGGCTCGCCACGACACCAGTTTCGTAAATTGCCCTTAGAACCATCGAACGCTCAAAGAAGTCTCACACAATTAACATTCACGTACTGCGTGTGTCCGACCGCTTTCGTTCACAGCACACGCTGCGATAAGACAGCCCACAAGCAAGGGAGGTACACTCCGATGCGAAGAAGACCTACTACTGGTTCGTGGAGAGCAGTGGACACTTCAAGAACAGCTGTTTGAACACGATGACTGCCGTTTGACATCCTATGCTTGGCCTAGTCAAAACGGAACAAGAACTGGAAGGAGTACGCGCCCACGCCTTGAAGGAACGCACCGGTGGTCACCCCTAGCCACACCACGCTGAAAGGGTCGTCGAAGATAGCGATAAGCGACATAACCCACGCCAGGAGGGTGTAGTGGTAGTTCCAATTGTCCCCCCTTCGGTGGACGAACGCTGCGTTGAGTGCGACGAACGCCGCTACGAGAACGGCGGTGGCCATGTACCGGGCGAATCGGTTTCCTGACCGGACTGGAGCGGTTGCATCCTCGGGAGTGGATACTCCCCCGGAGATCATAACTGCCCCCGGAAGAGTCGTCCAGGCGACGAAGAAGTGGTAGACGAACGCCAAGCCGACGGCGATGACGAGAAGCGTGGAGACTACGTTGACGGCGGTCGTCATGCCGTCTTCGATCTCGTGGGTGTCCACGAAACCGTCGTTCTTCGTCAGGGCGGAGGTGGTGATTCCGCTGTTGGACGTGTGCGGATGGGCGGGGGGGAGTGGGGAAACGGAGAACCACACGTACTGGGAATTAGTGCCGCGACATGTCGCTTTCCACGTTCCATTCATGTGGTATGATTGGCACGATAAACCCGTCGTTTCATTCCGAAACGATGCCTCACTCCATGATATTGGGAAAGAGCGCGGGAGGTTAGGGTTGGCTGGATGGGTGAATCGTTCAGGAAGTTACGACTCCTGCTGCCCCATGTACCTTCCTGTCCACTGAAGTTTGACACACATGCACATGTACATGTTCACGGCAGCAGTCTCATGTGTTTAATTGGCGGTTGGCCTTGAATGAGGTCCTGGGCGTTGGGCGATTTTTCTGTCCCTCTTTCTTCCTGAAGTCATGACAGGTCCGCCAACCGTGTGCCTCGGGATTTGTCTTCTTCCAAAATCCGTGAAATATTTTTTTCTCCAGAGCATAAATTACAACAAAGTAAACGTATCAATGCTTGCCGTTTCACATAACAAGAAGGTCATGAGTTGTTGGTTGAGACTCACCTGCCAACTACGACCACAGGAAGGTACCGCTCCTTGGAAAGGCTATGGAACCTTTCTGAGTCCAGAGTGTCGCACAAGAACGCCTGCATGCAAGTGTTTGCAAGCAGGAGGAGTGCGGCGGTGGAAAGCCGCGCGCGCGTGCAATGTCGAGTGTGCTAGTAGTATCTGCCTTGAATGTGCGTACGCGCACTCAAGTAGCCAGTGGGGCCAAGGCAGCAGGATATTTCATCGGTCACATACAGATATGCAGTTACAACACAGTGTGCATCTTATCCAACACGCAAGAGATAAGCTTCAATTAGGCATCTCTTTGAACATGACCATCTTCGCCTTCTGTTTGAGTTGTGAGCGCGACCCCCTACTCCCCACGGGACCCCCTACTCCCACCACCGGTGGTTTGACCCGCCTGGAGCGCCTCACGATCATCTTAGCAATGACACAACAACATCACTTGATCAGAGCCGTGCTAAGAAAATGTCCCCCAAACTCAATAGTGTTCCTTAGCAGCACACGCGCTTCCAGTCTTAGGGCGGTCGAGGTCCCGGGAAAAGGGCCACTGCAGTTGTTCTGGAACAAATACCTGTAACTAGTGGCGCCACATGTGTCAACGTCGACCGGAGTGAATGTACCATACGGTTGCTGTGAACGTAAAGCAGTACGTAGGCCCGACAGCGGTACAGCCACGGTGGTCACCGAATAAACTCACGCTATCACATATTCGGTTATTTCCCTAGCCATAACGGCAGTAGTAGCTCATGGCGGCCAGAGGTGCCCATGAAAAACATCGCTTGAGTGCATCATTTTGAAGATTTGCCCTTGGATGCAGCCCAGAGTTCGGCTGGTGACAGAACAATTCCGCCCAGAGCTGTTGTACTTGAAGTATAATCGAACCCATACACCAAGGACGACATCTACTGTTGTGAAAAAATATGACGAAACACGTGTCAATATTCTGCGACCTACTGTAATTTCCCTGTTTACTCTGCAGGGTCTGTAGGTAGCACTCGCCTGGCCTAGAGCGAAGGCCAGAAGGAAAGGCAGCTCCGTGAGGACATCCAAAGGCTGACACGCCCAGCGATAGTTTCCAGGAGGCTCAAGCTCACAGGAGACCTGCATTAGGAGCCAGCAGAGAACATAAAAGGAGAACCACACTGCAGCCTTGGCTCCTCGCTCGGCGTCCCAGGACGAACTCATGATGCTTGTCCGGTCCGTGGTTCGGGGTGCGGTGCTGGTGTAGACTACATACACCTTGCCGGGCTTGATCTACACTCCTGTTGTGTTTACAGCCGCCACCGCCGATGAGCGAGGGCGTTGGTCGTGCTGTGTACATTCCGTCCCCCCCCGTTGCAGAACAGGATGGTGGTCGCGCGGATTTTCATGGAACTCGCTTGTCGAGGAAACACTACCTGGCGGGAGACAGAGAGAATCTGACAGTCACGTGAGCAACCCGCGCACTTGGCAAACGAGGTAAGGATGCTCTCAGATGAGGGTACGGAACCGCATTACATGTAGCTATCAGCACTCGGTGATTCATGCATGCTTGGTTGCCTTGCACGTCGCACACTCTCCCTCGACTTGTTTGGCGGCAAAACTTCGAAAAACGAACCGAATTCTGCGCACAAGGGCAGAAGTGAAGCAGCTCAAGTGAAGATTGAGACGCGAAGACGCGAACTGTCGGTGGAGACCACCTCTTTTGCGAGGGAAGCGGAATGGTTCCCGGACGGGAACCGGCGCCTGCAGTCGCAGGTGATCAGGTGATTGGAGAATGTTCGGGCTGGTGTGCTCGGTACCATCGCACCAACCGGTCCCCTGTTGTCTAAAGTCTGCAAAACTACTGATGCAGTACCGTTCGGGTCACACCGTATCTTCACCGCGCCGGTCCGTTAAACATGTCGACCTTCTGGCAGTGAAATACATAGATAGGTAATCAGCTATGAAAGGTAAACTACGCGGGGTGCAGCAAGCCCGTCCTGGGCGTTACTTGGGGCACTGGGTGGTCGGCCGTGCTAGGCCGAGAGAGAGAGGTGGTGAGAGAGGTGGAGAGAGAGTGGGAGAAGGAAACTTGATTGGAGAGAGACGGCGGTGGCGGTGGGATGGGAGAAGGAAGAAGTGCGCAGCACGCACCCAAGCCTCATCGCACCAACCACGCAGGAGGGCACGGGGATTGCAATCCCATACACCTAATAAATCACGATAAGGCGAAATCCTGGGGGAGGCGGGGGGGGGGGGGGGGGG